AAAATGTTTATTTAAAAGAAGTTTAAAAGTGTGTAGGAGAAACGCAAGTAAACAAAAGTATAAATATTCTAATTTTTTAATTATTTTTTGGTTTAATAATTCTACTAGTAGTAATAGATATGATCGAAATTAAGTAGTATCCAATAACTCTAGAGTCTAGCGTATAATACTTATATTTCTTTATAAATTACATCTAATTCTATTACAAATAACAGAAATCGTTTTTCTAAATAACTTTAAGTAAAAATTAATGTTGCACAAAATTATATAAATAAATAATAATATTATTATATAGTATTATATCAATACATTTGTCTTTATTCGGTATTGTATTTGATTGCCAGTCGCTAATAGACTCTATATTACGCAAAATCTTTTCCAACATTTTAAATATTTTATCGAACGGGAGCGGAGAGCCGTGAAAACGAACCTGGCGCTTGGCGTTGCAGGGGGTGTGGTACGTACTAAAGTGTCGACGCTTTACGCAAAGCCGCAGGCAGGGCAGGTAAGGGACGATACGATGCCCTGGATGATCAAGGGCAGCAGATCTTTGGCCTTGATCTAATCCAGCAGATCACCCCTTCTCTGAGCCTTCTTCAGCGGGGCCTGGAATATCGGGCCCGCCGATCTTTGGAAAACCCGTACCGAGAAAGCAGAACATGCGAATCTGTCAAACAAAAAAACGGCACTTCGCTCATCGTGTTTCCTCAAAACCACCTGAATCCGATTTTGCAGGAGCTGATGTTAGTAGACATCGAACATGTTATTGATCAAGCAGTCAGTATCTTATCATCTCTCACTAAGGGTGAGCTTCTCACTCACCTCAGCCTGATGCAGAAACAAAACAAAGGCTTCGATCATTGTTGCATGCAGCGTTATCCAAGCGGCTAAGGTTCGCAAAGGCCAAGGTGGCAATCTCATCTGATCACAGTCACAGTCTATCAATGATACTATCAGGGTCAACCGGTGAGGTTAATCGCTGTGAGTGAACGCGTATTCCCTGGTGGGAAAATGTGATAGCCAGTCAGTTGTAAAAGTACTCGCCCTAAAGCCAATGCTATTTTCAAACCAGATCCTTTCACAGCAGTATTACTGACACTGCAGTTCAACAGAAAATTGGTGCGCCCTCCTCTTTCACCGAACGCAGTCGCTGAGATGGAGATCATTAAGATGGCTCCCTGCGTGCGCTTCTTGGGGGAGTCATCAACACCCACTACACCCTTGGCGGCAACACAGCATAATGGAAGGAGAACCGTGATGACCTGCTGTTGAAATATCGCCTCTCAAAAGTCTGCACAAATTCCTGGTGCAAGTAGTGTGCTTACCGAACCAGAAACTCTCGTCTCACTACACTACACTAGCTTCGATGCAACAGATATCCAGCCCGATATCTATCGGGGTCGTTCAATTCCCTTTATTGCCGGTGACCGGCAAAACGGAGAAAGGGCAGGACGAGCAAAAGATCGCTTTTCATTAAGATTACCATGTGCGAGCCATATTCCCCATGTCATGCACACTGGCATGCGACGAAACGGATAGGTATGTCTTTTTCCTCCTTCTCTTTCTTCTCCTCTTCTGTTTCCTGGGCAGACCATACAACATGCTTGTATGCTGTGCATATACACCACCAACACTGCTACCCCCTCTACCTACTAACTCTCGTCTCCGCTTCGCCAGACATTACTGGCAAAGCAGTGAAAGATTTGTAAAAAAGAGGGTTGTCTCGGTTGCTCATCCAATAAATTGTGCGGGAGAGATGTCCGGGACCAGTCTCAACAGAAAAAAGAAGGGAAAAAAAGGCAGAAAAGCATAACATACCTAGCGTTCTGGTTGACCCCTTTTTTTTTCTTACCCCTCTTTCTAAGTTCTTTCTTGGTGGATGACATTTATGTTTCTACGATAACGACAGCAGCTCGGCAGGTGCTCGGCTAGCCAATGCTATAAGCGCATTTGCGCCTTTTGTCCTCCATAAACTAGATGCGGAAAAAAGGGTGTGATTGAAGGAAAAGTATTCAATGGCGCAGAATGGAATGAATGGGGTGTTCGGGATGCCAGACTTGGCTTTCCAGGGACCTCCTGTAGTAAGATCCCGTTTTTGTAAGTGTAGTGCAGTCCAGGAAAAATAGGTAAGGGTTGCAAACCATCATGTAAGGGTTATCTTGGCAGTGAGCGTCTGATAGGGAACAGAACGGATGAAACGGATAGAATATTGGATGGGGAATCTCCAAATGTTGACACTCGAATGTCGGATTGGCATGCTTGCATCTAGTGTACGTATCCCGTCCAACCCATAGGAAAGCCCAGGTAACTTTTGCTACCTGCTTACAAGTTTTTAGAAGAGAGTTCTCGATCTACAATTGAGGAACCCTTCGTGCAGACTTTACGAACACATCAGAAACACTTCGCTCGGCATAGCCATAGCCATGGCTATAGGAAAGGTCCAAGAGACGGGAACTGCGTAGAAGAAGATAACTTCTATTCTACGGCAGGCAAAAAAGAGGTACAGTAGGTGTGATGACGCTCCCCTGGCTCCCTTGGTTTTCCGCTACATGTAACGCCCCACGTAGATCTCGATGATGGAGTGACAGTGAAACGAAACTTGTTCGCAGGAGCCGAGCCGAACAGATAGTTTACACAAAAAAAAAAAAAAAAGAGAACCAGTTGTTACGGGGAACGGCTCGGCTTGGGCGGCTTCGTTGCAAAGAGACAAGCAGGGGAGGACGGCAGGAATTGTGCACCTTCCTTCTACTAGAATACTTGCTCGGTACTTACTAATGTCAAGTCAAATGTAATGTGGGAAAGAGCGAAAAAGGCCATGCCTTGCAAAAAGAGAGCAAAAAGAAGGAAAGGGATCCATCAGAGATCGAGATGAGCTTCTCGAAGAAGAACCAGTCAGTCCGGTCAGTCCCCGCTTCCCAATTCCCCAAAAGGATCATCGGCCGCACAAGGCACAAGGCACACGGCACACACGCAAAAACTACAAGGAACCCGGAATGCATCAAAATATGTACCCTCCTGCTGGCCTGCTGCACACTTGACCCCTTCTGACCCTTTTTCCCCCCTTCTCTTGTCTCCAACCCTTTTGACCCCTTCGTTTGACACCCTTGGACAAATGCTGTGAGACTTTTACGAGAGAAAATTTGCGAACACCGGGCAGCACACCACTTATTCATCGGGGTACCCAAGCTGACCGAGCAGGATGGTATTCTTGCGCTATGGCTCCTGTGGAACATGGCAATTTTCAAGAATACCATATGGACCTGCCGGCCTATGGGGAGTCTATGCACCAATATGGAAGATGATCAACCATTTTTTCGTTCAACAACTTCCCGTCCCGCAAAGCTCAAGAGCAAGGCGAGCAAGGTAAAAAAAGCAGGGTCAATGCGGGGCCCCTACTTATTCTATGGCAGTTTGTTTTTCGGTTTTTTGGGGTTTGCTTTCTATCTTTTTTCCATCCTATTTTTTACCTTGTGTTTTTCCCTTTGTTGCTGGCAGTGGACTGTCATTTCTCGTTACAGGGACTTCAGGGACTATAGATAAGAGATAAGAGAAGCTCCCCTCTGAGTCCATTTGCCCTTTCCTCTCAATCATGTATGTGTTGCAGGCCAACGACACCCTTACCACTTCGTAAGAGACCCCCTGAACCTACATGGCACGATAAGATGATTCCTTACTTTCTACGTTCGTGGTCATACTGACCGATAAATATGTCGTGACACAACCGGTCTGGGGTCTGCAGCTTACTGGATTAAAAGACAACAAGACAAGCAGCGGCAGGCGCAACTGTTGTTTAGGTAAGGACCGCCGGTACTTCTGCGTGTCTTTGCTTTTGTGTGTGCTTGAAAAACATGCCAGGTGAGTGAGTGTCAGACGCACACACGCACGCACGCCCGATTGTCAGACATGATCATGCCGAGGGGAACCATACCGTATACCTACATATCTCAACTCGGGCCGTTCGTTCTTCGGGATCCAGGTGTGCCGAGTTAAATGAGACGGGTACCGTTCTTGTTCAAGGACATAATATGGGAATGCGAAAGTCCCCGGGTTTTCGCGTAGATTCGCCACCAGTTGTGGTGCATGAGGCAGATGGCTCATCCCATCTCCTATGCTTTGGTTGAGGTTGACAGCAGGACATCAACTGCAAGACGATCAGATCGTGAATGCACAGCAACATTGTCAGAAACACGGAGGAAAGGCGTGGCCACGAATGGAATGGGATGACTTCCCTGAACATTTTCCTAGCAAAATAGCTCCCCAAACGCCCAATCCGCGATATAACAATGATCTAAAATGACATGAGTTGTGAAGCTCAGCCGAGCCGTTCTTGGCTCAGATCTCACTTCAGCGTGAATGAGTGATCAATCACCCGTCCCGACGTATTGAGATTGGAAACAGGGTTTGATTGCCGGTGTGTGCGCTTTCATCCACCGGTTTGTTCACCTTCTCTGAGTACGACGATCACTTCGTCGCTCCGGTATCTTGTCTCTTGGCTGCGGGCAATGCAGGCTTCTTGAATTCACCACCACCACCCGAGTTGCCAACCTGGGTAAATGTACCACCCTTGAACCAGCGATCCTCATCTGCTTTGCGCTTCCTGCTCAGCTCGGACTGAACCTTTGGATCAACGAGTTCCAGGCCTTGCATGGGTGTAAACGCCAACGACGATACCGTACCGGCCGTGGCACTGCCGACCGTGGTACCGACGCCTGATGTCCGCAAGCCCTTGCTGGCAGCCAGACTGATGTTACCGATGCCGCTGCCGCCGGCGGTAAGTCCTCTGAGAGATGATGCAGCGCCGCCATTGAGCGAGCTGGCACCACCCCAGCCCTTGCTCTTCGCACTGAGCTTGGCACGCGTGCGCTGGTCGATTTGCGTGACCCGCAGACGTCCATCGTCGCGCTGACCGATCATGCCCATGCCGGCAGTGGAATCGCCTTGACCATAACCAACTTCATTTTCCTCCTTGCCAAATGCCATGCGGTTCTGAGCCTTGCGCAGCTCCGTCATGGCCGTAGCCTCCTTGGCTTTACGAGCTCGTCGGCCACCACGCTTCCTGCTCGGCTTGTCGTCGGGTGCCGGGAGAGCGCGCGCGCCCTTGCTGTTCGGCTTTTGCTGCAGCTTATCCAGGCGGTCCAGGCACTCGTCCTTCAGTCGCTCGCCTTCTGATCCATCCCTGAACTGGTGGAAGCAGTCGGTGCGCGCGCACATGACAATCTTGTTGGCAAACATCTTCATCGCCTGCTTCTTCAGGTCTGTTGGGATCCCACGAACGATGTCTGACTGATAGATGAAACCCTGCTGTCTGATACCGACGTTGGTAGCGAGAGCAGAGCTTGTCTGCTTCTTAGAACCCAAGCCGGGAGGTTGCAGGCCGGGGTTTTGGAAAGACCAGTAAGACCACCAGCCTGGTTGAGGAGCTGTGCTGCTGTGAGGGACCCAATGAGAGCCGTCAAGTTCGGCGCGAAAATGTTCATGCGAGACTGTACGTACTCAGTGAGGGTCTTCTTGGCCTTGTCAAGCTCGACCACCATCAAGCACGCTTCTGTGACGCGCTGAACCTCCTCCTCGCCCAGAAATTGGCCTTTGGAAACCGTAGCTTCCACCGTGACAATCATCAGTGTTGGCCCATCCAGAACCGACTTGAGACTTAAACCCAAGGGGTTGTCGGTGGAAAGTTGGAGCGCCTTCATGCTCTCCGAGTCCATCGGAGAATTGCCCAGGATTGCAACGACCTTGCAGTATTCGATAGGGTTCGGTAATAGCGACTCGAGCGCGGCGAATCTGGCGGAGAAGTGGTCCCTCACAAACTTGTGGACAAGCGCCACCTCGCTGTCTATCAAAGTAGACAGCCTATTGGCGTTCGTCAAGAGGTTGTATTCCGGGTGGTCTTCGACATGGCCAAAATCGTTGGCCTGCGCGGGTTGTGCTTGGTAATGTGCGATTTTCTGCAACGTTCGATCCAGACTGTCAGGGCTATTGCTCAGAAAAGATGTAAACGCTTTTCCATGTTCAAAGGGAGCACCGCGAAGGGGTATTAGGGGACTAACCTCGAGTACTGGCTTCAGAGAATTCATAAGAGTAGCGACAGTTCGGACGTCCCGCACTCCTCCTAAGTGCATCTTCTCAACCTTCGCCTTTGCTTCCTCGGGATCTTCAACAGCATTTGAGTCGTCGGCTCCGACGCCACCCATAGCCTCGTCTTTATCTTCACCCTCACCCATGCCTTCATCCACGTCCTCATCGTTGAGTGGTACGTGTGCGTCGTCCACGCCTGAGTTTCCAGCCGGAACAACACCATCGTCTAGAAGACCATCGCCATACTCCTCGCCGCCGGCCTCGGAGCCAGAGTCCTCGAAGTCCTGGAGGAGCTCGTCGAGAGTAGAGGACATGTTCGCAAAACTGCTATCTGGGCAGGATATTCGGCGCTCGCTCGGATGGTTATCGGTTGATTTCGAAGAAAACAGATTGGATGTTGATATAAGCTGTCGTGCGCTTACGAAACGGGTGGGAAACGTTTCGCTGTGTTGTCGACTTGGGTTGTTTTTGGAAAGATTGGAGGCAAGAGACCGCGGCGTTGCATCACGGCCTAGACCTGCGCGAGTGGCTTCTTGCCTGCCCGTTGCCCCTGTACACAGTGCGCTTTGACTCTCTTGCGCTGAGATGTACTTCTAGTTTGCTTGACATTGCCCCCTCGGCAGATATTATACAGCCTTATCCAGCGGCTTCTATGGGTCTTACAGGGCAATCTGCCCGCTAAAGCAAGGAAAAGGGCTTAACTTGGAGCAAGTGCCTACACTGTGCAACTTTCAGCCACGGTCCATCAATCGCAACGCGTCCTTGTCCTGGCTGGCTGTTGTTGCGTCAAGGTCCGAAATCTCATCAAGAACTAGACCCTACAACACCACACCAGCTTCGTCAGTTCGTCACTTGTTACGCCCATCACCACAATGGAGTCATCACGCGGCCCGCCAAGGGTGAAAAACAAGGCCCCGGCGCCTGTGCAGATTTCGGCCGAGCAGCTGTTGCGCGAGGCCGTCGACCGCCAGGAAGTCAACCTTCAGACTCCCACCCAGCGCTTCGCCGACCTCGAGGAGCTCAAGGAATACCAGGGTCGCAAGCGCAAGGAGTTTGAGGATTATGTGCGACGCAACCGAGTTCGTCTTTCGAATTGGCTCCAATATGCCCAATGGGAGCTAGAACAGAAGGAGTTTGCGAGAGCCCGATCTGTGTTCGAGCGCGCTCTGGACGTACATCCCAATAACACCCGTATGTTCATCCACTTGAGCTGTCTATGTGCGTCGTGGAAGCATCAGTTACTAACTCGAGTACTTTCACAGAACTCTGGATCAGATACGTCCAAGCAGAGATCAAGAACCGCAACATCAACCATGCCCGCAATCTCCTGGACCGCGCCGTCACGCGGCTGCCCAGAGTCACATCTCTCTGGTACCAGTATCTCTACGTCATGGAGATGCTCGGCGACATTCCGGGCACCAGACAAGTCTTTGACCGATGGATGAAGTGGCACCCAGATGAGCAGGCGTGGAGTGCTTATATCCGTCTAGAGAAACGCTACGGCGAGTTCGACAGGGCAAGGGAGATCTTCAGGGCCTTTACCGCCGTCCATCCCGAACCGAGGACGTGGCTTAAATGGGCCAAGTTCGAGGAGGAATACGGAACCAGCGACACGGTCCGCGAGGTCTTCCAGACCGCTATCCAGATGATTGCCGAAACACTGGGCGACGATGCCGTGGACGAAAGGATATTTATCGCCTTTGCCAGGTACGAGGCCCGTCTACGGGAGTATGAGCGGGCCCGTGCCATCTACAAGTTCGGCCTCGACAACCTGCCTCGGTCCAAGTCGATGACGCTACATGCCCACTACACCACATTCGAAAAGCAGTTTGGCGACAAAGAGGGCGTGGAGGACGTTATTCTCACCAAGAGGAGGAGGCTATACGAGGAGCAAGTGAAGAAGAACCCAAAGAACTACGACGTCTGGTTTGACTTTGCGCGGCTGGAGGAGAGCGGAGGAGACGTCGACCGGACCCGGGAAGTCTACGAGCGAGCCATTGCCCAAGTACCGCCAACCCAAGAGAAGCGACACTGGAGGCGATACATCTTCCTCTTCCTCTTCTACGCGATATGGGAGGAGAGAGAAACGAAGGATATCGAGCGAGCCCGCCAGATCTACGACACCTGTCTGAGCCTGATCCCCCACAAGAAGTTCACCTTTGCCAAGGTATGGGTTGCCAAGGCGCACTTCGAGATTCGCCAGGGCCAGCTAACGACAGCCCGCAAAACCCTCGGCCGCGCCATCGGCATGTGTCCCAAGGACAAGATCTTCAAGGAGTACATCCTCCTCGAACAGAAGCTCTACGAGTTTGAGCGCTGCCGCACCCTCTACGAGAAGCACGTCATGTACAACCCGGCCAACTGCCAAACATGGATCAAGTGGGCCGAGCTGGAGCGCGGTCTCGACGACCTCGAGCGCACCCGCGCCATCTTCGAGCTCGCTGCCTCACAGCCGATCCTGGACATGCCCGAGGTGGTATGGAAGGCGTACATCGACTTTGAGGAAGAAGAGGGCGAGTACGAGCGGACGCGCGCCCTGTATGAGCGCCTCCTCGAGAAGGCCGACCACCCCAAGGTCTGGATCAGCTACGCCCAGTTCGAAATCAACATTCCCGACGAATTGGAAGAAGAAGAAGAAGAAGAAGAAGAGACGGAGGAAGAGAAGCCGGTCAGCGAGGAGGCCAAGGCACGCGCGCGCAAGATCTTCGAGAGGGCGCACAAGAGCATGAAAGAGCGCGAGCTCAAGGCCGAGCGGGTGTCGCTGCTCAATGCCTGGTTGGCGTTTGAGAAGACGCACGGGTCGGCGGAGGATATCGAGAAGATTCAGAAACAGATGCCGAGGAAGACTAAGAAGAAGCGCAAATTGGAGGATGATACTTGGGAGGAATATGTCGACTACATCTTCCCGGCTGATGATCAGCAGACCAAGAACTTGTCGACCCTGTTGGCCATGGCGAATGCCTGGAAACAGCAAGCCGCAGGGGGTGCTGCTGGTGGCGGTGCTGGTGGTGATGAAGGGGCTCAGTGAGCGGGTGCTTTAGTGTAGGAGATAACAATACTATTTCCGTCTGTGGACAAAACGTCCGTGTTTTTTTTTTTTTGGAATATAAAAGCCCATATGTCACGAGTGCTTATCTCTACAAGGATGCTTACCTCTTATGTCCCTCTAAACTCCCGCCGCGTAGGACAACCAGACCATACTAGACAAGACGAAACGCCATATGCAATGACGAAACCTTGAGCGCCTTTCACTAACTGCTTGGCAGGTGATGTATTGTTGTGCACGATTGATTGCGACTTCGTATACGTTGGCTTACCTTCGGAAGGATTGGTTCCTCCTCGGTCGTCGAGTTTCACGGGGTCCTTAGCGTTAGTATTCTTTGCATCGCCGGCTCATTAGACATGGACGGTCTGCCCCGGTAGGTTAGAAGAGTTCAGAATTCAGGTTCCTTGTATATATCCAAGAACATGGAGGTAACTCTCTTTCTTCTCTCTCTATATATAGTATGGCCATATCTCATCATCAGAGGTATACATTTCGTTCATTTCGTTGTTTTTATATCATCATCCTTCTCGTTAAAAAATCAGAAAATTCGTCGGGAAACATCATGAAACCCAACCACCCTCTTGTCATCATCATCGTAAGCAAGGAAATACAAACAAATTGGAAAAGAATCAGAAGAGGAATGGAAAACATCCAGCAGCCACGAACCGCCCCCTCCAGTGCTCTTCCGCTGACAAAGTATGGGGAAGAGGGTATTGAATGAGACAAATAGGGAGTGAACGATGGTAATAAGCGGCGAAGAATAAATGCCGAAGCCCGAACCGTGCGAGTGTAGGTTACCGACCTGCCGACGTAACCACAGGCGCATGCTTGATACCCAGCGAGCCCGCCAGCCAACCACACGCCAAGCATCGTGAGATCCAAAATCCGTGTGTGTGACTTGGGAACCAACCAACAACCCGTGCGGCGTATCTCCGTTTCCTGTACCATAGAAAGACCGCAAAACCCGAGCTGGCACCGGCAAGTCGGCCGTTCTCGGCATTGACCAACAACCGTTTTCCGATCGATTGTTTCGTTGTTGCAGTGCTTCGAGTGCGCGTCATTCTCACAGCTTCTGTCTGTCCGGCGACATTCCGACATCCGTGCCCGTTCAGTCGCACAACGCAAAAACCTGCTTACAACCCATGCCAAGGATCGCCACATTTCCCTGCATTCGGGCCTTTCCGTCTCTTTTTCGGTTCAGCTACGCAGCGGGGACTGCGGGCCGGACAGCAAGCATCTCGTGTATTTTCTTAGCGGCGGTGATCTGTTTTTCGCAAAAGCGGGAATTAGTCAACTGGTTAAAGCAATAGATTGGTAACTTTCATGTATGTGATAAAAAAGGGAAGTTTCGTGTCATCGTAACCAAAACGTGTTTGAAGTAACACAGCAGCAGCAGCACCACCGTAAGTAAGGCATCAGATCGAAAGCTCCCCCCGCCCTCTCCGATCCGTTTTTGCAACGCTCAGTGGTGGCCAGATCTCATGTCGGTACTTGAGGTACCAGGTAGTGAGATAGCAGAAGAAAGCGGAGTTGGATGTCGCGCAAGTGTAGGAAGCGCAAGTAACAGACGACAAAGCGGACAATGGCAAGTCTCGCCCCTCTCAAGTCCTGCCAGGAGTGTTTCCCGACGGAGGAGAGGGAGCGCGAGGCATGACGGCGCCGTATGGATTCCCATCAGTGTAATGGGGACCATCCTCCAGGTGTGTCGCCTTGGGCGGCGCTGAAGAGGACCAGTTGTCAGCCTTGCGTCTGCCGAAGTCGACAATGTCACCACGGCCGTCCCCGTCAAAGTCATTTGCCTGGTTTGCCATTGCCCGCAGTCTTTCGAGCCGTTTGCGGTGCCTCTCCTCTTTCTTCCTCTTCCACTCGCGCGTCTCGTGCATCACCTCGCGAGCCTCCTTCATCTCCGAGATGGCGCCCTTGATGCCCAGAGCCGCGATGCTGGCTGATGCGGCATCCTGCAGCACCGCTCTTTGCTTCAGCTTCTTGGCATCTTCCGGACTCAACTTCCCTTCCCTCACTGCCTTCTTACGTACGCCGTGCTTCTCCACGCTCTGGTAGATGTTGTAGGCAGCGTGGATGGTCGCCACAGCTGCCAAACCTGTAGTGATCATTTGCTTACCTCTCATTTTCTTGGTCCTCTTTCTGTCCTCATCTGAATCTCCCAGGTCGGATGAGGAGACTGATCCATCGCGTCTTCTCGCCACCGTTCCTCCTCCCCTTGAGTGACTGCGGCTACGACCGCTTCTGGAGCGCTCGTCGTCTGAGTAGTCTCGGTGCCGGCGTCCGCTTCGAGAAGAGTCTGCGTAGTCGTCGTAGTGTCTGCGGTCGTGGCGGTCGCGCTCATCGTCGTCTGGTCCGTTTCCAAGGCCTAGCTTGGCAAGGCCCTTGCGCGCTGAGTCGACGACGCTGCGGCTGCGACTGCGATGGCGTCTATCGCGTGAGCCATCGCGGCTGTCATACGAGTCCGTGCTCCGGCGTCGGGATCTAGATCGGTCGCTGAGCTTCTTGGCAGCGTATGTCCCGAGGCCGGCAGTCGCGATAGCGGCAAGCCCACCGGGACCCTTGGAGCCTGAGCGGGCACGAGATCGCGATCGAGAGCGACCGGTCTTCTCATCCTCCTCAATGTTCTTCTTTGAACCATTCAGCACACGGTTGCCAAGCAGGCCACCGATGACAGATTCGGCCAAACCAAGCTTGCTGCCCGCCTTGTCGCCCTTCATGGCAGCATCCACAGTAGCAGCACCCGCTGCGGCTGTAAGGATGCGCTTGGCCTTTTCTCCCTTCCATCCACCTGGCTCCTTAGAGACACGGAAGGCTTCGGTGGCACCAGCGATGAGGGAAGCCATGGCAGCCTTCTGGATCTTCTTGGCGGGATCGCCCCCGCGGGAGCGAGATCGCGAACGGCTGCTGCGACGACTCCTGACACTTCTAGTATCAGATCTATCATCTCTGCCGCTGCTGCCTCCCGCCAAGGCCTTCAAGGTGCTGCCAATACCAGCAGCGGCAAGGGCACTCTCGAGGAAGTTCTTGTGGCCCTTGTTGTCCTTGGCACTGACTTCGTCGTCGTTACGATACTCTAGTCTGCCATCACGTCCTCTAAGAACCAATGGGGCCTTCTTTCCTTATGCTTGTTGTAGAAGTCCGCGCCTTGATAGCCCGCAAAAGCTCCAGCAGCACCGATAGCGGCCGAGGCAAGAACGTTGCGATGGACATCGGAACCATGGTCCTTGGCTTCCTTGCGGTCGTAGAGCTCCTTTCCACCAATGGCGATGGCGGCGCCGGCCAGCGCAGCGATAAGCTGCTCCTTGTTGCCCAACCGGGACTTCTTCTTCTCCTCTCGGTGGTCGTAGTCGTAGTCATAATCCCGGCCGGAACGGGACCGGTGATCATCGTGGTCGTCATAGTAGCCGGGATCGGCAGAGCGGGCGCGGCGCATATCCCGAGTAGAGTATCCGGGCGGAGGGAAGTCACGACGGATCTCCTCGACGGAATCCTCACGGGGGCGAGGAATCAAATCGTGGTTGACGTTGAGGTATTGGTCGGCAGCGCCGCCGGTGTACCGAGGGTCTCTGTCATCGCCGCGGCGCTCCTCGCGGTAGTAGCGTCTTGTGGAACGGGAGCGCTCCCGGGCCGGGTGATCATACGGGTCGTATGATGCCATGTCGAAGTATGTGGTGTTTTTGATCAGTGAGACAGTTGTCGTTTGTTTTTTTCTAGATGATTGTTCACAGATATGTTGGCGTTTTCTTGAAGTGGTGAAGAGCGGGGAAAGTGTTGGGAAGAGGAAGTAAGAGAAAAAAGTGGCGGGAATCCTGCGAGCTGGGCGACAGTAGTAGGGCCAAGCAATATATGGGAATGATGTAGATCCTCTTACTCGTCAGGTATGCCGGGCTGGTCAGGTCATATTCTTGGTAGGGCCCCGCGCAAAGTGGTATGGTAGAAGTGGGTGTACTGAGTACCTTTACGTAGCAGTCAACGATGGGCTGGCCCCGCTCCAGCTTCCTTGGAAACCTGACCTGCTGATGGTGTGGGTTTGACCTCGAGGCTCAGTACCTAACTTTTCCTCGTATCACACGACTTCAGGCGTTGTCTAACTTTTTGGCGTACATACGGCAATCAGACTGGTGATGTCTTTTGAGAAGTGAGAAGTCCAAAGTGACTCTTCAACTGAAATGAGATGAAAGCACAAACCAACCGGGGAAACGCCTTGGACATGAGATGAACATGTCGGCCTCCCCTCCTCAACCGAGGCAGTCGAGCCCTCTTCGGGCGCAGTCCGCAGACTGTGTGGTTGACTCGCTGGATGTGGGCGCCATGCTGTGCGACTGGGCAACGACGTGGGCGGACTGAATTCCTAGGGCGCGGCTTTCATGGCCTTGACGGCACTCTGTCGCACATCGAGCCCTGTCCTGCCAGTGATGCCCGTCTGCACCCAGCACCACCTTCTTGACCTTGTCGGTGGGACCGGGGCCCTATCGTCATCAGGGTCCAGAGTGGGCGGTCCTCGCCTTGTGGTTGGTGAGAAGAGCACGAGAGAAGACTGCGGATGGGCGGCTGAGCAGATGGCAGGCCCCACAGAAGACCAGGGGAGGAAACCGTCCAAGCCGACCTGACATGTTGAGACATCTATCTCAGGGCCGATGAGAAGATTGAATAAGAATCTTCATTCCTCTTTCGACGGAGACGTTGAAGTCAGAGTCATTCGCTCGGGTAGTCCGCTCATAGGTGTCCCCAAACATGACGACGATCGTTCGGATCTTTTTCCATGGCGAATGTCGATTCCTTCTTTGGGTGGGCCACCAACATTCCAAACTCCAAAGCTACCCCGCCATCGCACAAAGTCTCTGAGCTGACCGTATGGTAGTCTTACACTCAACCCTGACTCCGAACCACTGTCTCGCTGGGATAATCTTGCGCGCCATTTGTGGAAGACCTTTGACAGCTGGAAATATAACTGCCGTGCAATGGTTGGACTGACTCTCTCTCTCTCTGTCTCTGTCTCGAACTGCCAAGACCAAGCAAAAGTCAGCCAGCTGCCTCTCGGAACGAAGCGGGGCGAGGCAACGAGGAGGGACAAACTTTGAAGGCAATGACGCAGTGCCCTGGTGCTAGTGGTAGTGGTAGTATCAAGTACCTCGATGGCCCGAGTGGTTGGTGGGGTGGCGCAGTGTGTCCCCTGTGACAGCCCGTGATCAAGCAGACTCAAAGAGGTACACTACATGTTGAAAAGGTCGGGCAGCAATTGGTTGTATATCGATAAAAATACAGAATATAGACTTGGCAACTGAATAGACCGAATTTGATGCATTTGAGAAAGCTTCGGGCTCAAAGGAGTCACGTTTCCCGGATGGTTAGCAAAAGGTTCGCTTTGGCAGTGTTGTGGTTTGCGCTTTGTTCGTCAGTGAGATGATGTAATGCCCCGCTGACCCTTGCATATGCTACTGCGCGTTAGTGAGCTCTATGATGTTTCGTATTGTCAGGTACCGATCACTAACAGTGCCCTTCTGATGCTGGGCGTATCAAGACGTGGCCTCCTGTCAAACCTGCAAAGGAAACAACGCTCTTGAGGCTGCGGCAAGAACATCTTGCTTCGTGAGATTTGATATGCTACCTGCCTGTAAAGAAGGGACGAAGCTGGTGATGTTCGCGTTTGAAGACGCCATCAACTACTCTAGCCCTATCCATGCATCGAGGATGGCTAGTCGTTAGCAAAAGTCGACTTAATGGGGGCACATAACATTTTCAAAAGTCAGTCAACATCAGTCCAGGGCTGCTGGCGAGAAGTCAAACAGCCTCCCATAGTATCCAATTCTCCCTGGGGTGGTTGCTGAAAGTCTATGGTAGTAATTCAAACACAAAAAAAGGTCCATGGGTATATACTTAATGCTTTCCACCCCCTGCCCCCTTTCCAATACACACTGGGGCTGGCCGCATCGCACCAATAACCTAACCTAACCGCTTCCTCCCGATGTGGTTCATCGTCAGATCGACCGTTCCAAGCATCGAAGGATATTCTTCAGGTCCTTGGGTTTAGTAGTCCACTTCCCCACTCAATACCCAGCATGCGAATCATCCCCTTCCTCTTGGTCCCCCGGCTGCTGTCCCGGTTCCTTCGTCGGCGACCTCGAAGCCGACATCTCGCCTTCCTCCGGCTTACTCCTGTTCTTGTGGTAGTCATCCAAGTTTCTCAGACACCTAGTCGTATCACAAAACAGAGGGAGAAGAATGTTAGCCAGGCGGAAGCTCTGCCAACCGGTCTCCCAAGAAAGAAAGAAAGGAAGAAAGGAGAGAGAGGCAACTCACACTTTCATCTGAGGATCAACCTCCTCCCCCAACTTCTCCAGCTCCTCAATCATCTTCTGTCTCTCCTCCATGTGGACTGCCATGAACTCAACCAGCTTGTGTAGCAGCACGCCCTCGGACCGTTGCAGGTTTTCGCAGCCGGGTACAATCTTACTGACGGCTTCGAGGCCATTGCGGATTTGCGTTCGTCGCTTGTGCTCTGTTTTTGATGGGTCTTGTCAGTCTACTGCTGACCTTTTCTTAATTTCGAGCCATGCGCCAAGTCGAGTTTCGAGGTTGTTGGTAGAGCTATGATATGATGTGATATGGCATGCGGTAAGTAGGGGGTATGGAATTTGTTTGTAGTCTTGGAGGTGTTCATAAGTCTAAGTAGTAGGTTGTTCCTTTCCCCCAAGATGTAGCACGTACCGGATTGAATATGATTCTGTTTCTTTTCCTCCTCCGTCAACCGGGGTCTGTCATCGACCGTAACCATGGTAGCTGTTGAAGTCCAAGTCTCTGTAATCGATGATCCTGCTGTCTGTCGCAAATAAAACTTCGTGCTTTTTGCGAATATTGTTGGCAGCGCCTTTACGGAAATATTGCGATCGATTCCGAGCGCTCTGGGAACGGAATACAGCGAGCGTGTTGGCGATAACAAGGTACCTTACTAGAAGGAGGTGCGTAGTGTAGTAGTTCGGTCGAGGAGAGACGACATGGCTAGCGTAGGCGATTTCGTGACATGTGATCACGTTTTAAAAGTCCCTGGCCCCTGTTTGGAAGGACTGGTCGTCAGGGGAGGGGATGCCTTGCCCTATGATGTGTTCCGATGCTCAAGCACCTTGTCAGTCTTGGCGAGAGGGGGCGCCACCACCCACACGCACACATAGAGCAAATCCATATTTTAGCGATTTGGCTATTTTATATCGCTTTGTACAATGTAAATTCATTGTTTGACATTGAAATCTGGCCAAATCTAGTGCAAAACGTTGATATTATCATGATTTTAATTGTATATTTGTTTATTCAAGCGTTTATATTATGTACTCAGCTGTCGATATAAAGTATTATTTTAATACCCGCTAGAAGGTATTGATTGTAATGATGATTATAAATGGCGAGTACTTATGCGATATTAGTGGGATTGCTAAAGTCATTAAGAGGAGTGTTTGAAGATATAAATGTACTTTTAGCAGTGTTGGTAAGGTATTTTAATTGTTGCGGACCTTCTAAAATTCGCGAAAGTTTTGGATATAAGCACTGGAGGTATGTTTATATTATGTTACTCTTTTTATTATTATATAGGTAATTGATATCGCGAAGGAAATTATAAAGTTGTTTGTATTAAAATCTGATTTATACTTTGACGAAATTTGTATTTTAAAAAAAAAGCTTTCTAAACTTCGTTTTACTTATCGGACAATAACAATAACAGTAATGTAGCCTCCTCTATTAAATTGAATGCTTCCAAACCCACGGCCGTAGTTAAACCCCGCACCAGTTAAGCTGGCGTCGCTCTGATACCGCTTTAAACTTTAACTTCTACTCCTAAGCACACCTATTCTCAATTTATATAAATATAATTTACTATTATAGGATCGTATATAATCATCGGCTGTAACAACAGGCTTCCTACTATTAAAACCGCAGGTTATTAATAAAAGTAAAACTCGAGTAAAATAATAATAATAGCGAATTTAGCTCATAGCGGTTTATAACTAGCCTAATTACTAAAATCAGAAACCAGTAAGCAGGTTATGTATAAGAAATAATCAAATATATTACTATAAAAACGAAGCACCCTATCTCTCTTCATAGTATTACGTATATCGCCACTGTAAATTATAATCGTCTTATTAAAACTATAGTCTATAATAAGACGATCTCTGATAGCGAATATTTTAATACATTTAGTAGTATTAACAACAAAGAGGTAATAAAATTGTGCCTTTACTACCCTACCTAATATTATACTTTTATTATCTTGCTCAAATTTCAAATAATTAAACTACCCACAGCCGCGACCATATCTACAAAGTCGCTACTATCCTATTGCTATAGAGTAATAGTATACCTACTACTCTCTTCCGCAATCTTATAAATACCTTCATTACCAATCGAACCGCTATACGCTTCTAAACTCCTATTCTAATTAACACTTTTATTACTACTGCCCTAAAAATCCAATTATTGCAAAGGTCACAGACTCCCGGCAATAAAGAGCTCAAATATATTATGATCAATACTATATTTGAAGAGATTGAAAATAATATTGAAGAAGACCGTAACCAGGAAAGGCGTACCGGACACAAATCTTGTAGCACCGCGTACTAGAAACTCGCGCAAATATCAATATATAGTTTTGGTTTTAAATTCAAGAATTATGATAGAGCTATCGGATATCAAATATATTATACTCTAAGTAGCAGTAATACTTATTATAATTTTACAATTAAAACATTGGTAAGTAAATACGAACAATATTATTAAGGAAGATTATAATTACTAACTTATTGAGTAAAATGATACGAAAAATACTTAGTAATAAAGCTGCTACTTCTAGCTCTAACTCCAGTAATAATACTAGTAGCAGATATAAAGAAACCGGTAGTATACTAATTTATATTGGTATTATTAATCATATTAATAATAGTTATAGGAGTATTAATATAGAAAGTTTTCTGTACGTAATAACAAGAAGTCTATTATACTTCTACTCCTATTAATTATACTGATACTATGACAAGGACAGTGTTTTGAGCTTGGAACAGTAGTTCAATTCCGCTGATAAACTACTTTGGTCTCGAAGGCCTTCTTGATCCTTTCAACCTCTAGGGAAAGGCTGGGCTTTAAGGCCTTCTTATGCTAAAGGGAAACGGTACCTATTCAGTACGTACGGGTCCTTGTTACCTGAGGCTCCAAAGCACCTAGCGATCTGCATACATGTAGGTCTTTCTTATATGACACCAGGAGTATAGCATATTCCCGTATGACACCAGGAGTGTAGCATATGTCCGTGTGATACTAGGAGTGTGGCATATGTTCGTGTGACAGATACCCTCTATACTTACTACACTAATAGTATTTCCCTAGCTACTTATACTTTTTACTCTTCTACCCTCTTTCCTACTTAGTAAATAGTTCTATAGCTAATACAGCTGTAATGAATAATCATAACGTAATTACTCTCCCACTAATAAATAGGGTAATAACTATTAATTCAATGGTGAGCCCGCTTTTTAAATATTTTACTACCGCCTTCTATAAGTAATTGACTAACTGCAAAATTCTAATTACGTAGCGTACTAACACTCTTCTAATCTCCTTTATTATTACTACTACTACGTCTATTATACTCTTCGAAAAGCGAATAATTGTGCTACCATCGATTGCACTACTATCGATTGTACCACTGTCAATAACTCATAAAAAGAACGTCTCATGCCCTACGGAAGGCGGAAGTAGACGTTAAAAATAACAACAAAAAAATAACTCATAAAAAGAATGAAAAGCACAAATATAAAGAAAATAATAATATATATAAAGAAGCTATAAAATGATAAATCTTTCGTCTCCTTATATTATTAATTACTAAATTACATTCGTTGCTACCACCTCTCTTACCTTCCAGCCAATTAGTACAGAAGCTTATTGCTGAGTTCTTTAAAACCTTTTATAAAATTTACTATATTAAGAAATTTCTAATAATAATAGTATTAATAATATACAGAACTATCGCCACTTTAAAAAAGAATTTCACAATACGGCTATATCTACGGATATACTATCGCTCAAAAAGCAATTACCAAAATAATTCCAGCAGCTAAACTTCTTTACAAAACTTCCTCAAAAAAGAGCACAGAATACTAGCAACGTAATTAAACTATAGTAAATATACCTTCTCTCCCCTACATCTGAAAACCTAATTAAATAATATATTACTTAATGCTCTAAATTTACAATTTAATACTACTTTTAAAATAAGCATCGCTAAAATTTTCACTTCCATAGCGGGTAGTACTACTACTAGCGATTCTAGCGAGCAATGACCTGCCGAATAATTGAATTGGTTTATAAGTAAAAAGGAAGAGCTATAACATAATAATATTATTAAATAAATTAATCTATTTAATAGGTTTTATATCATTTACCATATTTCTAGCATTTTTAATATTCGTAATACTTACAATACATTTAATATTGCTGTATAGATAAATATACTTTTTATTATTCAATATAATCACTACTTCCCACCACTTCCTACTATCTCCTACTACTTCTCTTCTTATTGTTGGCCGGTTACATTACCTATCGCTTTATATTCAGCTATTTCATTAACTTATAATCTATTATAACTTTTATTTACATCGTTAACATACTCTATCGCCAACTTCAAATTTTTAAAGTAGCTACAAATCTATTACACCCTATACCTAATATCCTACGATAATTGCTTAAAAAAGATAGCGAACTCGTCGTTTAATAAGCTATTGCTACCCTCATTACAGTACACTCTTTTAAATTGCTGCTTCAAGTTGCTAAAGTATACTTCAATAGAATTAAACTCAGGATAATACAGTAGCAAATACTGTAATAAAACCCTCTTTTAACTATATATATATTAGAATTCAATACAAAAGTACTAATTGTCACAGTGCTAGCGGACCACTACACCACTAGGTCATGCTCCAAAAGGATACAAGTAACCAAAGCTAGCAGTTCGGTTGCTCAAGTGGTCTTATATAGTTTGTCCCGGAAGAGGCACCCAAGTGCATTCTGTGACACTAATTAGCGTTATCTATTATTAAAATAGGAAGGATAGCTCAGTTGGAAAGATCTGAGCTTAGTTTACCTTTAATGTCATCTGAAAGGTTGTAGGTTCGAATTCTGCCCCCCTCCCCCCCCACTTCTATTCAGTTTTTAAAAAATCAGATAGACTCTTCTCCGCTTTCCTAGTTATAAGAGGCGTTAAAGATGATGTTGGTCTCACTTTAGTCCTTAGCTTATCTATAAGTACACGTGACTAGGCACGTGTAGAAATCTCTTCTTTGAGCTTAGTAATATGAGCTGCGGTATTACTAAGCTAACTAATAGAGGTTCTCGGAATTAGAACCTTAATAAATTCAATTGACCAATCGCTATTTCTTTTACCAAAAATTCTCAGCCTTACAACGTCTTACAGACAGCCGACCGGCCAATTAGCGGAGAAATCCAGTACCACGAGCAAGACCTCTCCTCTTCCACCTTTAAACCTCAAAGATAGGATAAAAGAAGAATCACTCGGCACATACTCGAGACAACTGAAGCGTAAGGTGGAAGGAGAAGGGGAGGGCAAGAGTCTTAGTATACCAGCCAATCAGAAGTAACGAAGTTTATTGGGACGAAAAAATGAGATTTGATAAGAACGGACGACAAACATTGAAGCAACCACGGCTCCCCGGGCTCCCCGGGCTCCCAAGGTAAGACGGGATGAAAGTTTAGATTTAGGATTACGGT